TCGGTCATCCCTTGAGGGTGAATCTAGCCCTGCTCGCCAGAAAGACCCCCCCCCTTCACTACAACCCATGTCTAAGCAAAAGCTTGTCGAGGAGCGAGGGGAAGAAGGGAGAAGCGACTAGTCTAGATTGGGTGTTAATAAATAGCATTCATTCGTTGTTTAAACCAACCTTGATTACTGTTGACTTAAACTACTTGACTTTTGTACAAGAAGGGAGGAGAGAAAAGACGCAAAGACCAAAAAAGACCGAAGACCAAGACCACATGAAGACAGGGCACACCGCACATCACTGATTCAGTCATCCTCTGCCTTCATGGAGCGGGTATTTTATATTCTGCGTGCGTGTATGGACCAGAGGCAGGAGTCGAGCTTCAGCGATCGCATTGCCGCAGCTGCCCTTCTCAAGTACAATAGAGGGCATGGAGAGTAGTAGTACGTACGGGAGTACGCGAGTTCGCTGTTTTGCCCGTGGTGTGTGTTTGTGGTGTCTTGGATATGAGTCCGATATATCGTATTCGAGGCGCTTTCTTATTTGTTGCTGTTATTTTTCTGTTCCGTTTGGTACTGCATTTTCAGGTAAGTTCTACGGAAGTCAGAAGTAAGTGCCTGTGCGTATTTTTGTTCCTTTTGTGTGGCATGGCCTTGGCCTGAATTTTTTTCTTGACGTTTGCTGCGCGGTTTGTTGCAGAAAACAGGGCAACCCTGCTGTTTTGTTCAGTGGCCATTACGTGGTATGCCAGCGGTGTTCCATTTTACAGCAATAGCCTAAACAACATATTGGTGAAATTGAGAGCGAAGCATGAAATTGAGAGCGAGATTGCGCGATGCGCTGCAGCTGGACTACTGCTGAGAGGTGGAGCATGCTGTGTAGCTTGAGTTGAAGGGCCAGCCCGCAGCTACAACAAGCAAGATGGTCATCCGGTGGGAGTCTCTCGATGTGGAGTTACAGCAGCGAGCAGAACCTACAGCAGAGGCCACCGCCCGAGGCCACACCGCCCTGCAACAGGTTGAGGCAGGAATAGCCAATCTGGGGAAATCTAGCGACTTGTCTAGCTCCTAGCTGCAGCATCCGATGACGATGACACGCATATGATCGTGACGCTGCTGATGAGACCTTCAATTTGGTTGGGCCGCTTCTTGGAAAAGCCCGCCCCCTACTTCCCAAGAAATGGCAAGAGGCGTCTGGGCCCGAATTTTTATTTTTTGGTTCTCGCTCTCAATTTCACCAGTACACAGCAGTTACAATACATTCCTAGTAGCCCGCACTGCTGTGGCTGTTGGTTGATTTAATTGCTATTTTTCGTTGCATCGACAATTATGGGGGGGGGATGGAATGTGTCCATGATTGTAGAGGCACTGACAGCAATTGGTTTGGTGTTCTGATGGGTTTTGACACTGCAGGTACCGTGGCACGCGGGGGTGCTACAGGGAGCTGAGAGGTTCATGGCCTCTTGGCACAAGGGCAAGGAGGAGGCCAGCCGACAACGAGCCATCAAACGAGGAGACAGCGGGCCCAAAAATAGTCTAGATACGGCACCAATCAACGGGGCGGTAGGGGGGCGGAAGGAAACNCGGCGGGCTGTGTTGGAGGCGCATTTACATTGCTTGAAGTATTTTACCGCGATTGATTCCAGAAATAAATATATCTACTCTGTCTACCGAATGGCGGTCACGGATGACTAAGGGTGAAGGGAATGCGGGAAAGTAGTCCCCTCTTGACCCTTATTAGAACGAACGAGTGCAGAGTAGTATAATAGTAGTCGGATGCGTCGAAAAAACATGTCCTGAAAGACTAGACTACTAGTAGTCCAAGATAATTTGCGCTGTGTGTGATGATACAGCAACAAAATTATTCGTACATTTCGACGGTGGCAGACGGCATAATAAACAGAGCGTGTCGACGAAGGCAACCGCGCGCATATGTCTAGCATTAACGACCGAAACAAGCATTGCCCGAGCACGAGGGACGAAGAAAAGCGTGCAGAAGTACGAGCACACGCGAGGAAAATGAGCATAACCAGCGTGCAGAAGTCGCCATTTTGAGCATAACCAGCGTGCAGAAGTCGCCTTTTGAGCTTACGCACGTGCCGAAAACGTGCATAAAAATCTCAAGAAATAAGCATAACAGGTCAGGGCCTATTGACAGCTTAGACCCTGCCCAGTGTTGATTGAGCTGTGAGTGCGCAACTCCAGCAGCCACAGCCCACTCCACGCAACACAGAAAAAATGATGCTGCGCTCCTTACCCCGCTCCGTCTGTCGTTCGGCTCGCTCGAGTCGGGCGCCTGACAGCAATGCTCCGGCCGCTGCCGGCCTCCTCGAAGGACGCACGGACCGATCAGTCAGACCATGCGGATCATGGACTGCAGCAGCTGGAGCGAGTGCTAAGCGACAGCCACGGGCGATACCCCACGTGGGTCCCTTGCCGACGACAGCATACATGAAGTTCCCGCTGGATCGATCCATGTCGTCTCTGAAATCTTCTCAGTGGGAGCGGGAAGGCCTGCCTGTAGCACCGGTGCACAGCGGTAGCGAGCCGCTGCCGTCGAACCTCAAGCTTGCGGCGGAGGCTTGGCCTGCTGCAACGGCGGGAGAGGGAGGAAACGCGGAAGGTGAATCTGGTGCCGGAGCAGCAGGTAGTGCATTCCGTAGGTGCTTCGTTGCATTCCGGGGCACCTTCGTGGTTGTGATTCCTGCCTTTGTTATGCCTTGTGTGTGTCCCGCCCATCCAATGTCGAAAGCTTCGATTTGTACATGTCGCACCCCTCCACTCCCAGCGTACCGTAGGTTGCGATCACACCTCCTGGACCGATTTTCAAAGCTCAACCACTCCACGACGAAGAGGATACCCAAACTGAAGAATACGTTTTGGGAGAGCTCTCGACGAGACGGTTCCAACGCCTAACGCAATTTTCGGCACCGTCACTGCTTCTCCTGCCGAGGTATCGAGTTTCGAAAATCGGTCCAGGGGTTGGATACCTTATGCAACCCACAGGTATGAGATTCGCATGCCAACCGCCGTTTGCCGGCAGGCGTAACACGGATGGTTGCATACCTCCACCTTCTCCCGCCTACAATCAGTGATGGTGCGAATAACCGAAGTACACTGCTCAAGAGCTGCAGTTGTTTATCACAGAGAAAGTTGCCAGGTCGTCACTGGACTAATTACTGCTGAAATACACAAATTAGCAGTAGGTTTCACAAGTTACCACATCCCCTGGACCGAGTTTCAAAGCTCGATTACTCCACACAACGAAGAGGATGCCACAAACCAAATACAATCATTTCGGAAACGCTCTCAAGGAGATGATTCCAAAGCCTCCCACCATGTTCGGCACCGTAGCTTTTTGGTTGCAGAATACCCGAGCTTTGAAAAGTTGGTCGGGGGGTGCAGCGAAACCTTGCGATCTTGCTGGCTTAGAAACCTCCTCCTGCACATCTGTGTTTATCCCGGCCCAATGCCCTATTATACAATTCCAGTATTTTCGTGAGACGTTAGCGTAGAAGATAATATTGTATGCCAGCGGCGAAGCACCACAGCTGTTGTTGCGGGGGGTTAGCGTTGCGATCAACCTGCCAAACGTCTGTGCATTTTAGCCGGTGATAACTTTCGCAAAACCCTCGCGATGTCGGACTATGGCGAGAAATATTCTACGTTTAGGCGTGTGTTGCAATCGCAAGTATTAGCTCGCCACCAACATAGGACAACGGCACATCAAGCGTGAAGGCGTACTCTTTCTTAGGAGGTTGTTGTGACGATGCATGCGGTAGTGTAATGAGGCATAAAGCAATCATCGTTAGTTCCTGAAACGGCAGGGCCTGGTGCATTAGTAAGTCACATGCCGATATGCTCTTCGTCTTGCCATCGGTCGTTCGCTTGTTCCCTCCAAATCTCGAATACTTCCCCACTCAGAGGACGGAGAAGCGGAAGACGAAGAGGAAGAAGAGGAAACCGACCCCCTGTCGGAAGAGGACCACGACGCCATCGCAGCCCTCCTCGACACACCCGGCCTGGCTGCCAGCGACGATCTTGAGGTGGAAGTGGTGGCCTGGTCTGACGGCGCTCCTGTTGCGACGGTATCGCTGGCGCCTTCCGTGTTTGGCGTGCCCGTGCGAAGGGACGTCGTGCACGAAGTCGTTCGGTGGCAGCTTGCGCGCCGTAGGAAAGGCAACGGCCAGGTTGGTCGTGTGTGCTTTTTCGTGGCGTTTAGGGCTCGGTCGTGGTTGTTGAGCCTGCGCTGTGGTTTTGGCTTGGGAATATCTGGCAATGGTTCACGTGGCTATGAGGACAAGAGACCAGAAGTTATACCGCTGCACACACGTCTTGATGTTCTACGGAAGATTGCTCTCTTGCCCGTTTCGTTTGCGGCTGCTGTACTGTGCACGGCAATTTCGCTGGTGCATGCGCCCAGCATTGTGCTGCATCGGTCTCTGTTGAGCTCTCTTTTGTCGGAACTCAGCTATATCTACAACGATCGCGTCTTGGTAAACATATGTCTGGTACGTTCGGCCCCAAACTTCGTCAGAATACTGCGTTCGGAACATGACGGACAGACTAGCCTTCGTTGGGCACTGTGCTGTAGGATGCGCGATCGCCCCCTACATGCCCGTGGAGCATGAATCACCTCGCTTTCCTCCATGACCTGTTTTGTCCTTCCTGGCACCGATGTCACCCCCACCCGAAACCAACACGCTGCTTTCTCGCCCTCGCTGATGCCCCCTTTCTTCCGCCGCCGGAAATCTCCGGAAACCTCCGTCGACTACCCAATCATCAGACCAAGAGGATAGGGGAGATCAGCGGGTCCGGGAGAAAGGTTCGGCCTCAGAAGGGGGGAGGCGTCGCCCGCGCGGGTCACAGCCGTCCACCCCACTGGCGGGGAGGCGCCAAGGCTCACGGTCCGAGGAGGCGGGACTTTTCCTTCAAGCTCAACAAGAAGTTCGTCAGGCTTGGCTTAAGGGTACGCGAGGGAGAGAAGGAGGTGGTTTTTGTTTGGCTTGTCGTGGTTGTAGCATGATAAATCCTTCAAGCTTAACAAGGAGCTCATCAGGCTTGGTTTGCGGTTAAGGTTCAAGGAAATTACGAGTTCGTAACTTTTGTCCATCTCATCTGGGTACACCTGAATAGCAATCGGTGTTCGAGGAATTGGCAGTATATTGTCCGTTCTTCACTGTTTGAATTCAAGCTTGGTTTCAGTGCGAGTTACACGGCAAACATGACCTCACAGAAAGACTACCCGTTCGAGATATAACCTCAGTCGAAAGGGATGTCTGTTGTTTCCGTGGTCCCCAGTGTATAGTATGATTCGGCGGATCTGTTAACCGGAAAGAGAGGCTAGTGCCGACCACGATTTTGTCCTTTCAATACCTGGCGACACGGTGCAGTATTATCTTGGTGGGGTTTATCTTGTCCGTACGGTACGGTAGATACCCCGTGCGAATGCATGTTTTTATTCGGATGCGCATATTAGGCATCCCTGCAACACGGGTGGTATGTTTGTAGGCGTTACCCCGTTCCAGTGTCGCGACGTTTTCAACAGCTGTAGTTCCGATGGCCATGCCGTTTGTTTTGGCTTTCATCAGACGTATTGCTGGAAATGTCCACGAACACCCTATCGCTAATAAGTTGCTATGTAGGGCGCTTCGTCGGATAAAGTTCTGGTGTGTCGCGGCCATATTTCTCTTGTTGTTCCTACCTTTTGGCAAGTCTCGTCTGAGTTGGATGCCCCGATCCTGGCCACCCCATGGTATTCGAAGATAGCATACCCTACAATGGTACTGTAGCACCTAGACCACCAGGGGCGACCGGATTCCGTGGAGCATGAAAACGAGAGTAGCATTGCTCCCCCAGTGTTTCATGGTCGACCTGCGATTTTGCGACTCCCTCGCCCCCCCTATTACTGCTTCCTTCGTGTTTGACTTCATGTCGTGTATGACAATGAAAATAATGTAGGTGGCACTGTCCGCACGACTTCGGGAAGGGCAGCTGAAGGTCGTGGACGACCTCAAGAGCGACGGTTTCAGGACGTCCGCCATGATCAAGACCATCAAGGTGAGCTCGAGCCCCACTCCGAACTGCTGTGCTCGTATCGGTGCGCTGGTGATCCCACTGTTCCTCAGACATGCGCGAGAAAAGGGTACTGCTGTCTTGCATGTGTCAGAGGCTAAAGACGAGCACTGCTGTGCTAGGTTACCAAGCATTGGACGACAAAGCACAATCAACAGTGGTACGATGCTGTTCGACTAGGGGTAATACTGTTGACGTGTTACGGTCGTACAAGTTGCTAGTTTTCGTCTGAGGTTGGCCTGGTGCCACCTAGATGCCAAGTCCCGTTCGCTAACCCAGTGTGTTAGCAATATGGTTTCTAGATTGTTAGAGGTGTGGGTTGAGGGCAGAGAGACAAGCGGGCGGACTGACAGACAGACAAGTACAGACAGCGAGTAGGTTGGAGTCCGAGGCTGAATTGACAACTCATCTCTGGCGAAGAGGAAAGAGTCCAGGAGATACACCTTCACGCCGGATGCAGCAGTGCCACTGCTGTCAGGTCAGGTCATGTCATGTTGTCCTACCTGAGGGGTCCGTGCAACGCGCTTTCCTGCTGTACTATTCGCGAGGTTGCCGATTCAGACAACACAATCTCAATGTATGATGCGTGACTCATTCCTTTCAGCCTTGACAATATTGACAGTCTCGACAACAATGACACTCGTCCGCCGCGTGTTGAGATACATAACACCAACTATATACCGTAGTGCCCAGGAGCATCAGCACAGCCTTCATGCTGCGATCATTTATACGGGCGCACACTGCACGGCGACGACGTCCATACCACACCTCTATAGTCATGCTGGCCGTCGTGATCCCAATGGCACCTACCGTACAGAAGGAGCCCATAATTGAGCAACGTCAAATTGGGTCTAGTTTATCTTGTTTTTGTTTCGTTTCGTCGTCGCCACCGTCGAGCACGGGGTAGGGTTGTTCTATCCTGGTAGGGTTGAGTATAGTATCTGCGGCCAATCCGTTATACCTGTGTCTCATAGCCCTAACCGTGGTTTCGTTTGCGTGAAGCTTTGGGCGACTGCTCATCAACGGAATATATCATAGTTGCGGACCCGTTCTATAAAATAGCACGAACATCAGAGACATGTATGCATACCAGGCGCAAGGCACCAAGTGTGAATTGGTCGCTTCTCCCGTTCACATTTCACAGAGCCCGGTAAGCGGCCTTCACACCGACCATTCACGCGTCACGACCTTTGTTATTGTTTGCATGTGGGCTAGCTGGCGGGAACGAACGATTTCGGGTGTGCTTCGCTTGGTCGCGTGTGATGCTTTCTCAACGCCCTCTCTGCCAAATGCCTTGTTTTTGTAGAAATCCATCAGGGGGGTGTTTCATCTTAGCAGCAGCACTATACCTTTGTCGTAGCTTGGCACCTTTGAAATATCGACCGCTCCTCTGCATTTCAACCTTCAAATTCCCTGTCTTATGCCATCCCCTCTCCTGTCGCCCCTCGACCGACACGCGTCTGTCTGTCTCTTACGAAACCCCCTCTAGGCAAGGGGAATCGACGGCCCTGTAACTTTTATGGTGGGGGGAGACCCTCAGGTTGAGTTCATGCGATCAGTCAGCAACATCGTGGGCGTCAAGGTCCTGTCTGCCCGGGTAAGCGATCAAAAACTTGATCCTATTCGATACACAAGATAACACACCCCCTGCAGATTTTCGAAGCTCGATTTATCGACAGCAGAAAGAGTTACGGCGCCGAAAACGGCGGCGTTGAAACCATCTGATCGACAGCTATCCGAAAACGCATCGGTGTGTTTCTGCATCCTCTACGTCGTGGAGTAGTCGAGCTTTGAAAATCGGTCCAGGGGGTGTGTTATCTTGTGTCGTACACGGTAGACTCAATTCGTGGTTGATGATCGTGCCGAAAAAATGCTTTTTCTGTTGGACTGTACTTTTGCCGCGGTTAGGTACTCTTGAAAAAGATTACCTCCGTTGTGCCGGAGTCCTCACGCCGCCGTGTGAGTACTGTGCCCAAAGCTTCGTACGAGCGCGCACCCCGTGTGGTATGGAAATGGTGTACTCGTTTCCAATGACCATGCGGATAAATATGTAGGGCGGGCGGGGGGGGTACCTTTTTCCTCTAGTTTCCATGGATTATTTCCGGCAGCTGAAACTTTGTTTGCCGGTTTGCGCTCAGCCAACGGCCATCGATTGATCAACTGCGGTAGTGCCATGTTCTTCATTGCTGTTGCTGCCATTCTACGCTTAGCGCCTTACCCAATCTCTTGTCCCCCTACTCACCCACCGCACATGCACGCCGCGCACGTTTCTCGCCGTGCTCAGGGAGCCAATGTGCACGACATCATCAAGCGACCGAACTTGGTCCTAACCCAGGATGCCGTGACGCACTTGGAGGAGTTTCTTCAGACGTCCTAGCGCCGACTGATGTTGATGTCCACGTCATCGTCAAAGATTTTCATCGCCACTTACTCTGCGGCCGAACCAGCAGCTGTATCAAGTGTCGCCATCTTGTTTGGTGTCCCAACAATTGGGTTGCTATGTTGGTGGACGAGAGTTCAAAGAAGTTAAAGTTTTTCCCCGGGGGGCCTGAGGGATGGTTCGCGAAGATACTCCTGCTCAAGAAAATGTATCGCCGTAGCGCCACGCGGTTCGCTAATCTTCTGTCTGTACGACTGAGCCGGTTGCTCCCTGGCGATTGTGTGAGACTAGGATATCGTTTGATGTTCAATGGACAGATGAAGATGCATACACCCGTATTGACATCGAAAGAGGAGGGCGGGCAAGTCACGTGCACAGGTGTTAAATCATCAGTGCGTCGCTGCTGTTTGCCGGGCATGTGAAGTATGCAAGGTGGCCGAACCGTGTGCCCCTCCCGTGAGCAGGATGATGTGACACTTGGTCATGTCCGACTTGCATCATGGAGCAACTGCTTGCTGTGAGGTCTATAGAGTTGCAACACCTGTGTCTTGGTTGCTGGGAATGGTCCGTCCATTCGGTGGTGTACATTAGCTCTACAGCATGACGTTAGTCCAAGGCCACCAGGTGGTGGGCCTTTCCACCTTTCCCCCTTGGCAGATGTATAGATCCTTATTAGCATCAGTCGTCTTGACTAAATAGTGGGAGGGTCAGACTTCAGGCGTTCCCTTAGATTGGAACTTCGATCATACCGCTCGGATGCAAACGTGAATCAGTGTGGGCAACAAAATAGGCACAGGAAGGGTGTCTCACGCACATCACTTCACTTTTGCACAACGATCATCGACGCCGTATTGCACCATCAGCGACCGTTGAAAGAAGATGGTCATATACAAATGAAATTGATTGCAAGACGAGGGGATTGCTGGGGGGGAGGGACCACCGCTCCGCCGGCCCCCCCAACTGTCGGGTATCAACGCTGTCCGGATTATCAGTACTGCTGTACCTCCCGCAAGAAATTGCTGCACTATGACTGACAAGGTTGTCGACCCCCTCTCGTACGCTACGGATGCTGATCAGTCTGTTCTGGAGGAGATAGCCAGGCTTGATGGTCTGCGGGTGAGTAACCAAGAGGAGCCCCGAGAATATACGCACCGCCAGCGATCCATGTTCTTCGCTGCCTCTCCCTGCAGTCTTGTGTTGAAATCGCAGCCATATCAAAGCTCACGGTCAAGCGCACACTGCAAACAACCACACCCTGTTCAAAGTTCCCATGTATGTAATGCTTCGTAAGTTCATGACACATACACAAAACACAAGCGATCGGGTGCCTTGACAAAAATGCGGAGGAATTGAAGCCGCTTCGGGATGGGAGTCTCTGGCCTATGATTTGCATCCACATGCAAGCAGCAGTGTACGTAGTGCACAGCAGCTGCAGCGCTACGGTAGGTGGTGCATAGTCAATACAGCCTCTAAGATTCTCCGTGTAATATGAAACTCAAATAAATCCAGTATCGAGCAGATGTCCATCGAATCTCACTGCGAAGGCTGCAGCACATTTTCTCGAGCGGGATAGTCTACGACTGATACATACCGATGCTATTCATCAACTGACTGGTTGGCAGACGACACACATGGGTTACAACGTACCTCCGTGCACGTTGTGTAGTCTACAGCAGTATGGTCGTGAGCCTTGATTAACCTTTATTTGTTTGTTGGGCTTCGGCTACCCCAGCTTCTACGTGGTGATGAATGCCGGCAGGGCGCCTACCTCTACTGCTTCTACTCGGCAGCAGTATGCCACAGCAGGATGCAAGAACGAAGCACAGAACTGCTGTGTGTTGTGTATTCCCGTAGTGAAATTTCGACGAAAATGACGCGGGGAGGGTTTCTCTCCCATAATGATGTCGTTGACGCAGTAGAAAGCTACAGGGAATGTTTTGTACAGATGTTAAATAGCGCCAGCTGGCATCATTGAGTAAGATAACAGCAGTGGACTATAAGGATAAAATAGACTCGAGATATGCCCAGTATCCAAGCCAAGTGTGCCTCTTCTGTTGCCAATTGCCCGCCCCTTTCTTGCTTCAAAGAGTGGCTTGTCAAACATCCTTCGTGAACCAAAAACGTCGTCCCCATATCTGTCATACAAAGAGACACAAGAATCCACATCGGAATCACACCTACTTCCAAGTTCAAGTGTACCTCAAGGAGATCGGGGGGGCGCCAGCCCTCCAATACTCCGCCCATAACAGGTCACGATAAAATATACAATTCGGACGGAACGAATCCCTATTGGGCCAGCATCAGTAGACTCCTCAGAACGGAAACACCGTGTTAGCAGGGGCGCCCCCCTTACAATGTCATCGCAAGTCTACTTGAAGCTTGTCGAAATCACATGGGATTGTCTGCTCCACATCGCCCCTGCTACAGATCAGAGTAACAGCAGTGCCGACAGTCACTGCTACACCACGCATCAGAATAGCGTCAGCGTTTTCATCAGAAAACCAGCAGTTACTATTACCACTGCTACCCCGCATCAGAATACCATTAGTTACTGCTACACCACATCGGAAAAATCAGTTCCTACAATGACTGCTACCCCGCATCAGAATACCATCAGAGCAGACCAGGAAACGTACCTTCAGGAGCACCCGGAGGTAACGTCCCTTCTTAACGACTTCCTTCGGGCCGTCGTCGAGCAGAAACCGGAGGATATCTTCGAGTTTGCCAGGCAGCATTTCGCCGGAGCCGGTGTTGACAGGCAAGCCGGTGACGATGTTGCCAACGCTGATTGTCCCCGTTCTCTTCATGTGACTGCTACCGTATTTTTTTGTTTCGGCAGTCGCGCGAGTTGCTACGGTTCACCCGGCTCGCTTCTGATACAGCAGACCCTAACAATCGGGTTGGGACTAGAAAACCATGAACTCATCACTGATACAATGTGTCCTGGACTCTTGTCTGTGGGTAGATAGATAGGTTGAGACGAGTTCATTGTTGTTTTTTTTTCATAAATAGATTGAAAAAAAAGGATTGTCGCGATGGTGGGCTACCGTAGGTTGCATAAGATAACACACCTCCTGGACCGACAATTGGGTACGATACGGGCCTCTTGTCTATCTTGAGTCGGTCGGTATTCGATCAAAACAGATACACATGTGTTGTATTGCGTATGATAGTGTGGCATTTGACAATGACAACGAGACGTGTTGTGCGGTCCCGTCAAATTCGGTGCAAACGCTCACCGCTCGCGAGACCCCCCAATAGCCCCGCCTTGCTCTGTTCGTCTGTTATTCTCCGTACAAGTGTATGTACCTGTCGTTGCGCTACTTCCTGGACTATTGTTGACGTTGATTGTGCTTGGTGGCGATGGTCATGATCAAAAATAGTCGTGCCGTCCTCTTCGCACTCATGTGGGTTTTTTTGTGTTTGAGTAAACCGCGCCGGTTTGGACATACCGTACCGTACCGTTCCTTACCGTACCAGGGTCGACGCCGTAGTGGTGGCAGGGCCAAGCGGCGTCGGCAAGGGAACCATCATCCGGAAGCTGATGGAATTATTCCCACAACAGGTATGGTAGGTAGCGTCACCGACAAGACGGTCGCACCTTTCTGTCCATAGCTTAACCGTTTCAAAAGAACGTATTGCAACAGTAGTACATACGTAGTATCTCCTTTTTTTTCGATCTCTTTTCTTTGACATGCATTACGAAACAGGTAGATACAGGTCGAGAGGTAGTTTGCCCAAGCATCCCTATCCTAATCCTACCCCCCCGCGCCCCCCCCCCGACCACGACAAAAGTCTCTGACGGTGGTGTTTCGCGTCCGACTAGGTATTGGACTATTGACGGTAGGAAACATGAGATACCACATCGGTTTCGACCGAGCTTTCAACCTCGATTGCTCCATGGCGAGGGATGCCAAAAATAAATTACAATGTACTCCGGAAATTTCTCGACGAGACGGTTTCAATGCCTCTCGCCATTGCCGGCACCGTCGCTATCGCTGCTGCAGAGTACCATAGTCGGTAGTCTAGCCTTGAAGATCGGTCCAGCGGGTGTGATGCAACCTACAGCACAGTACAGTACGAGCATTCGACTTTTCGGTGGTTTGAGTTGATTGCTCCCCCTGTCGATGTCGTATCATTAATTTTGGAAGCGTAGGATGACCGTTTATCGCGTGGGAAGAACCGATCCTTAGACGTGTTTCGAGAACCATAGGACTTCGGATGACCACCGAAACACTACCGAACTGGGATCTTCCAGATGCCACTTGCTGGCATGAGCGGGAGAACGACTAGTGGCACCGCCCTGCCCACTCACTCTTTTGCTAAACCCTCTCTCCTTGCCCACATCACCACCTGCCTGCTCTCGGTAGCTGGCTAAACCTTCCTCGAACTTGGGGTCCTCTTTGCCACATCGCCTACAAAAAGAGCCTAGGTCGTTTCCCCTGCACTACTGCTGTGTTTTGTTTTCTCGCGGCTGCGGTCACGCCATCATCATTTGTGCCTCGGGTCTATCTTGCCTTTCCGTCCATACGCCTGTGTGCTTCGACCCGTTGCTCTCTCTTGGTTATTGTCTCTCTTTTTGGTCGTTGCTATGGCGCCACAATTTGCTCTCTTCGTTCTTCGTGTCTATGGACCTGGTTCTTCGCCATTGCGCCGCATCAAAGTTCGGTCTTGCGTGCAGCCACACGACCCGCGGACGGCGCGAGGGGGAACAAGAAGGGGTACACTACCACTTTACCTCGCTCGACACGATGAGAGAGGCCGTGGCGAAAGGAGAGTTTATCGAGCATGCGGAGGTACACACGTACACATGCGTGGATTCTTGACGGGGGGGGGGTACACTGCTGTTGAGTGTGTCGAAGAAGCCGCCAATCGCCTTTCCGGGCCTCCTTATCACGACTTGAGTCCGACGGAAGAAATTGGAAATAGTTTCGAAATTTGGAAACTAGTGACAACGAGAAATTGGAAATCTGAAGAGTCAGGATTTGTAAAGTTGGAAGCGCTACTATGTACAGCTATTCTGTAAAGTGCGACCCTCAAAACTAGTCTCGGGGTGCAAAGCAGAGCAGATAGAAATGTGGGTCTGCATGCGGCTGGTGTCCTATTAGACCCACCATTTGTTTTCCCTTTGTGTGTGCATTGCATTCCGCTTCCCGCTTCCGCAGGTGCACGGTAACCTGTACGGCACGAGCGTGGCTGCCGTAGGTGACGTTTCGAAGAGGGGTCAGGTAAAGCAAGCAGTACTGTAGGTCTTCCTCTGCGTCTCTCAGCTGTTGGTGCATTCTAATCCTGTAATAGTCAATCTGTGCATCTATACTGCCAGCTTAACGTCTTATCGCTATCTGCCCTTCATCCCGAAGGTGCCGCAGCCGTGTCACATGTCATACGCTTGATTTGAACCAAAATTCCTCCAACCCCGTGTCCGCCGGTTTTCTGATCGTAGCCCCGGCGTGTGACTATGTAGATGCACTGTGGGAGTTCCCTGGGTCGCGAGATAAGGGGGGGCGTTTTCGCAACCAGAAGGAAGCGTAATGGCCATGAGACATATGGCCACGGGACGGCTAGCTTTTTTTTCCGCCAACACGGCACTAAAGGACCTCTATCTAATGGTTTTTGCCAAGGCTGAGGTTCTTACAGCAGTAGTTCCTCTTGTGGGCTACAATTGCCCGCGATATAGGTTATAGTGTAGGGGTTCTTATACTACAAGAGCTCACAAAATGGTGCTCAAGTTATTATATTTGACAAAACGTTGAGCATGGAGTTCTTGAACCGCCGAGATCTTAACTAACTGTGGATGCTATCTGTAACATCCACAAACACGCCCCGACTCCTCTCGTCTCTTGGATACATGTAGAGTGGCTTAACCAATGGGGGAGGCCACATGGATAGGGATAGGCCAAGGTAGAAAACAGATGGGATGACAAAACAATACTTGAATACAGCAATCCATACCTGGGCTTGTGGGTATAGAACGGTACGCGTCGCCCTCTGTCTGCCCTAGGCCCTTGCAAACATGCTTCCAGCCGTCGGATATTACTGTAGTTTACGTGTTCCGTCTTGAACGTTTCGGCCTGTCTGTCTGTCTGTCTGTCTGTCTGTCTGTCTGTCTGTCTGTCTGTCTGTCTGTCTGTCTGTCTGTCTGTCTGTCTGTCTGTAACCTGGCTTTCCTCAGGTGTGCTTGTTGGACATTGACATTCAGGGGGTCAAGACCGTCAAGGCCTCTCCGCTGAGGCCCAAGTACGTCTTCATCGCACCGCCTAGCATGGAGGTACGTAAGTACGTCTTACAGGCGTTCGACCTGCACCCTTCCTTCCTTTGATGGGTGTTGACAGGCGATCGATCGATGCGGTTGGTGTCAATCATGTCATGGGTGTTAATCTTGTCGACGAGGACGTTGAGGTATGTACTGTAGTCCGTGTCATGGCTGGTGCAGCTTGGCGTCATAGGTGATGTCTTCGAGACGGGTCGGAGGTGCGATTGTTCGTCCACGTATGTATATGAGGAGCAAGTGGCCTCTCAGGGGTGCCGGTTGAACATTGCCGGTGTCCGGTGCGGCGGTGCAGGTGCTTTCGGCGGAAACATACTATGCTATACATTCTATCCTATGCTATGCTATGCTATACTATGCTATGCTTTTCTATACTATTTCGGCACTTTTGAGAGGCCCCATTGGGCAGCGTGCAACCACGTGAAACGCCGCTGCTAGATACCGCCGTGGCAGAAGGCTTGTTTATTTAGACTATTGACTATTGGCCTCTCTGCTGAGCAACTAACCTTTTTTAATAGCCATGTGCCTGCCGATCGACCCCCCCGCTTGTACGGTATTTCAACACTTGCCCATACTCACGAACTCACGTCCGAGAATGGAAGGCAGGTCGTACGAAAACAAAAAATGGTTTTGACTTAATCCTGCCTTGACTCAATCCTGCCTTGACTCAATCCTGCCTTGCTCAATCCTGCCCTGACACGAGACGTTCTCTCTCGCTGTCTGTCGCAGGTACTGGAGAATCGTCTGCGAGATAGGGGAACGGAGAGCGAGGAATCCCTGTCGACGCGGTTACACAACGCCCGGGAGGAAGTCGACTACGGCACAACAGAGGTGACTGACTGACTACTGCATAGTGGCTGAGACAGTAGTTGGGTCCCATGAGCACGCATGTAAATTTTAATATGGAACGAAGATTTAATGTTTTTTTCTCGTTCCGCACTGCTCACCCACCCCGGGATATGTTTCTTCCCAACAGACTTGGCATGCGCTGTTTGGTGGCTTGCACTCTGTGGAAAAATTGAGCCACAGTACATTACGTATGTCATCGATGTCTTGTTGCACGTAAGCGACTGGGCGGTTGGCGACGTTTGGCGTAGGTTATCGCACGGCCTCCTCGATTTCTAGGGATCCACATTCATGCCTCAACATACGGTACGGGGTAGGTATTCCGGGAGGATACCTTTCATTTTTCTCGCCCTGCGCGAGCGAACGCACAGCAGGTGTGACATAGATTTTCAAAGCTCGATTGATCCCGCAAACCAAGAGGATACATACCACGCCGAGAAGAAAGGGTAGGTGGTTTCCGGAGTATCATCATTATCGTCATCTCGTCGAGAGCTATGGTAGTACTTTTTGTACATGGCTGTTTGTACTTGTTCGTGTTTGCCGACATTGCAAGTCGGCCCCTTCGTGATACATGCATGCCTTTCTGAAGCACAAGGTGTCATAATACAGTACTATGATAATATGGTGTGAAATGCTCTACAGTGCCGGATACTTCAACAAAGTAGTTTTCGTTATGGTTGATATCATGTCCCTCTGCACTCAACTTATTTTCTGTCCTGGCGGGTACTGTATGCTCCATGCCGTGCTGCTTGGCGTGCAGGGTAACTTTGACCTTGTGGTGGAGAACGACGACCTCGACCAGGCCGTCAGAAACCTCAGCGGCCGCCTGGCGGAGTGGTTCCCCAAGATAAAAAGAGCGGCCGGGGAGTCGCTCGCGTAGTCTGCCTGTTGCATGGGACGGCGCGATAAACAAAGTAGAAAAGTTACAGGGCGTGTACCGAAGAACACCTAGAGATACATGGGGAGGTATCATACGGCCGAGGGGCCTGAAAAATGAGCCACCTGCTCGCGGGCAACTAACCCACTGGGTGGAAGCAAGGAAAAGCAGGGGGCGGCGTGGACGTGAGACGAGGGGGNGGGGGGGGGGGGGGGGGGGGGGGGGGGGGGGGGGGGGGGGGGGGAGGAGGCAGGAGGCAGGAGGCAGGAGGAACTTGGAGGTTCACCGGATGGGATTGACTGTCGGCCGATGGGGTGGAATTGCACCCTCCAAGTGGGCCGGGGGGGGGGCTGCGAGGACAGTGCCACACAGAAAATGGTGACGACAGCATTGCCGTAAGGGAGGCGGGGAGGGGGGGGCACGAGGGAAATTTTCGCTCCTCCCATGAAAGTCAGATGTTTTTCCTTCCTCTTGGACTCGAGGTGCACCATGTTTCCGAGGCAGCGGATGGCATCGATCAATCTCACAAAGGATGGATAATAGGGATGGGTCGTCTGCTTAAACAAGAAAAAAAACATGCCGGAGAGGAGGGGCGGCGGGAGTAGAGCGAGCTTGTCCGGACGGGTTGATGGAATAGAATGTGATGGAGAGGAATGGAGTGGAATGGAACGGAAACGGTTCTCATGCTAGGCCCGACGGGTTTATCCCATTTCTTGAAGCGGTTACTTTTTGTGCAGTGTTATTTCATTCATTTATGAGAGGGAGACATCTGTGAGGATGAAGGCCAGAGCGAAGAAGGCTATATGCTTAGAGCGAGAGAGGCATGTGGAGAGGGCATGCTCAGGGGTCTTGTTTTCATGCTTCGTCTTGTATATGCACCGGGTTGGTGAACATCGGCGGTTGGTTTGCTGCTGTTTGTGATAAAGCCACTTCAAATCTGTGGGTTTGAAGTGCTTGTCTGAAGACAGACGAAGGCGCTCTGTCGATTTTTTTGCTTTGTGCCCCGTCGGCATGTTCGCCGAGCTTCGGTGCGCGGTGACCGGGCTGCTTGTTTTCTTGTACCCGATCAAGCAAGCGCGAAACAAGAAAGGGCAAGCGGTGTGAAGCCGACGTGAATTCTACTGGATGGGGCGTGAAGAGGCAGCGTGGTGTGGTCGATTCGTCTAGTCGAGGAGGACGATGCGTGGTCGTTGTGTGTTGCACGTTTATCAAGATTCGTTGGGGGTTACATGCGGTGTTTTAAAGAGCGCTGATGCCGGGTGTTACAACGTGGGCTGGCCTTTGCGCTGTAGTCGCGGGGGGTGTGGGTGTCGTCAGGGATACGGGGCAGTGTGTCGGCCAGCGCAAACATGGATAAAAGATATAGTAGCTGTCGCTAAAACGAGCGACAGCTGATAGATGTAACTGTCGTCAGACGTGTGCGTCCGCGGGAGGTGGAAGAGACCCTTTCTTCTTCTTTTTCTCTTTGCAATTCACGTCATTGGTTACCCGCGACGGCGCTGAAGACGCCCATGTCCGTGTACTTGACCCTCGTACTCTGTGCTAACTCCCCAAGTCTAACCTCTTCCTGCAGCCTAGCCTTCATCGTCGGCGAATTTCCAAGGTTACCAATCCTGTCGAAACTCATGGGCTCTACCATGAGGTCCACAAGTCTCTTCGCCCTACTGAGACAGACGAAAGTAAGCCCCGTGCAGGCCTCCTTGGGCCCCAAGTCAATGACGGCCTTGGCTAAAGTCTGCCCCTGGGACTTGTGCATCGTAATTGCCCAGCAGAGCCTAAGGGGCAGCTGCGTCCTGACCTGCGTCCCCCCGTCCTGCCAGGTGGTGTCGACGGGAGAAATAGGGACACAACGTCTATACCTCTCCTGAGACGACCATTCCCCCCCCGAGTACCCTTCAAACTTGACGACAACGTAAAGGGGGAGCTTCGGCGGGGGCGCATCATCTGCGCACACCAACTCG